AACTTTGGCCAAATTCAGGGAACACATCACATATCAAGGGTTCGAGTCTCAACAATGTTAAATTTCTATTATTATTCAATTATTATCAATATTAAGAATACATATATGCCAGTGATTTCAGAACTGCGCTGCCTAGTTAATTAATGAGTTTGGTAGGAATTTAACACATTCAAAAGCAATATTAAAACTATAATATTATTGCTTTTCAGGTATCCAAAGTACATATATTATATAAAACTATCTAAGTATTGGAATGAATTCTTAAAAATCATTGTTCAAAACTCTATTTTTTTAAAATATTGACCATCAAACAAGGGATCAGTACATTTTAATTTAATATGTCGAAAGTAAATCGTGCCTATCACCAAATTTTAACGGCGCAATCGTTTCCGACGTAAGCCATCATCTCCACTTGAAATTTCATTACCCTATTGCTGCATTGCCTCCCCGTAAATATCCAAGCCATAGAGTCGCGAATATTTATAATGAGCAATTAATTTGTCATGAACATTTCAACCATTTAAAATCTTGTGAGAACATGCATAGACGCAACGTTGAAATAAAGAATTAGAAAACAAAATTTACATTATTCGGCATTAACTTCTTAGTGATATATTGAACTTGGTCGTTAGGGTAGATCGAGATAGTTTTACCTTTTTTCGAGCATCGAAACTCTAGCGACTGAGTATCACTTTGCACCATATGTTTCCATGTAGTTTTTAAAATCAATAGTTTCCTCGTATTTGGAAATGACATTGTGCACACCAAGCTTGAGGGCTTCAATCTCTTGTTCTTCTCCTAGGAATTTTGCTTTTCTTGTGTTCAATTTTTCTCCCTAAGATGTCCTCGAGTACTGATGAGGACTCTCTTGTCGAGTGGTGGGCGAGAATTAGAAAGTGATTCATGTAAATGACCTCAATTTATTAAAAATAATGTTTGAAAAGACTTAGAAAACACGCTATTAAAACTAAAATTCCAAAAAACACAATCGATCAGAAAGTAAAATTGCATAAAATAAAAGATCAAACATAAAAAAAATTATTTCGGCCTGAATCTCAGAGGTTCAGTGACCATTTCTATCACCTACATCTCTTGTTGAGCATCCAATAAATTGGATATTCGCTCGGTTGCATTATATGACCTAAAAATGGCAACAAAAGTTATAGATCGTTTCTTCAAACACAAGAAAGAAGTACAAGTTATTTATCTCTTGAACAATAAACTGTAGATCTACAAAGAATCACTCAATAAACTTCAATTCGCCTTCTGAAAACTACAACTATAAGAAACCTCTTATTTTTACAATAATCGCTAAAAAATATAAAGAGTTCAGAGGCTAAAAGTACATTGATCTCAGCTTCATATGATTTTTCAAGAGAAAAGAAAATCACAGATCAAACCTTATCGTGAGAAGAAAAAGGAAAGAAACTCTCTCTCAGAAAATCCAGAAGTCAGAAGATGAATCGGTACCAAATGAATTGGTACTGTGCGTGTATATATCTCTCCATCAATAATGCAAAAGATCAAGGGTTAGGATATGGACACGCGCCACAATCTTATAAAAACGTTCCAACTCAAAAAAACGTGTGCAACTTTGGCCAAATTTGGGGAACATGTCACATATCAAGGGTTCGAGTCTCAACAATGTTAAATTTCTATTATTATTCAATTATTATCAATATTAAGAATACATATATACCAGTGATTTCAGAACTGCACTGCCTAGTTAATTAATGAGTTTGGTAGGAATTTAACACATTCAAAAGCAATATTAAAACTATAATATTATTGCTTTTCAGGTATCCAAAGTACATATATTATATAAAACTATCTAAGTATTGGAATGAATTCTATTTTCATCCTTAAATTATTCTAATTTGTTCTCCTAATCCAATCATGAAATAAATACATTTAGCCCTTATTCGAAAATTACTTTTCTCTGCGCTTATTTTCAATCACACATTCAAATGGCAGTTGAATTTTAAGTTTAATTTGATCGACCGATTGACCATAGGTATGTTATGATAAAATTTTGTATCATTTAAATATAAAACAGTAATTAATATACATAAAAAGACTTGATATATTCTTGTTAACAAGGTCGATACTTCTATCCCTTGTTTTGGTATCCATTATTTTTCAAATACATTTTTATCTCTCTTATTTTCAATCACACATTATTCAATAAAATAATATCACACGCAAACTCAAAACTTTGCCTTAATTTTTAACTCACATTATTCATTTACACAATGCAACGTGGACGAGACTGATTGGGGTACACAAAATTGTCCACCTAGAAACTTGTCTGACGTGGACATTGATGGGGGCATGGCATGGTGGTAACGCGTGTATGGTATTATGGAGAGGGAAACTAGAAGGGCCTTCAAGACAAACCAATATGGCTAACTACCCACATTAATTCATTGATCAATCCCCCAAAAGACAAAACAAGGCATGATTCTTGTGGATTGCCATTCGCACCTTGCTTCATCGAGATGCAAGTAGCTAATTAATTTGTAACAAAAGACGCCACCTTTTTTTACTTTCTACTCATTTAGAAGGATTTCTACTTTTATAAAAGAGTTTCTTGAAAAAGTCATATTGCGAATAACTTTTTGTTCGATCTTTTCAAGTAAGATGAAATATCTTGAAAAAATTATTCAAACATATTTAAAAATAACTTCTAAATCGAATAAACAACTTTTGAATTTTCAAAAATCCTACCGAATGGGGCCTTATCTCTCGTATTTGGTAGAGTCTCGTTTAATTCAATAATTGCGTACTTAACATGTTTTATTGTATCATTTTTAATTGCATTGTGTTGTTTTCATTGTGAATTTACCATTTAGAAATGAATGTGACATAAATTGATATAGTAAATATTGTACATTCTTATTTCAACTTTCATTGGAAGTAATCGATTGTTGGTTATTGTTGGCAGCAAATGTCGTAGGCAAGGTGTGGGTTGCGGTTACTTGGCATATATATCCATTTACGCATAGTTGTGTCAAAATGTAGTATATGCAAGATTTCAAGGAGATTATCGTCGAATGTTCGGCCTAAGTGTGTATAAGCTGTGATCGCATTCCAAGTGTGTATAAACTGTGATTGCATCCGGATTAACCCGGGTGGCGAACCGGGGGAATGTCGCCACTACTAAGGTTAGTCGGACGAAGTTTAGACACTTGAGTCATAAAAAAAAAAGATTTCAATGAGATTTTGCAGTGAACACGTTTTTTTTTTTTTTAAAAAGATAAAGAAATATATGAGATGTTTATTTATCGACATATCAATCAGGACAAATTCTACGTAATTTTACTTAGCTGGACTTACCCATAAATAATGTGCAACGTCCTCAATTTATCCCAATCAAGTTACTAAAAGAGAACAAACTTTCAAATTTTGAAACAATTATCAAGATTTAAAATTAGGGCCAAGAATATTAAGAGCTGGGCTCCAAATTGGAGAGAAGAACATGGCAATACTCATGAGAGAACTAACAAAGTTCATTATAATACTCTGCACTAAAGGTACAACTGCCTTCAAACAGAAAATGTGCAACTTTTTTACTGCTCTATAAATAGCATTAGATCATATTAGTATATTTTATTAATTATATAGAAAATAGTTACTTACATGTTGAGCTACTATTTTCATTTATTATATATTTGTTGTAATAATCAATATATTTATTAATGTATATTTAATTTGGCTAGAAGTTTCAAATGATAAAAAACGAATTAATGTTATTCATCATTAGTTGTAATAAATACAAGTTTATATGCATAAATTGAATTGCATTGAAACCAACGAGATCAAACGTAATTTTACCGAAGTTAATTTTTATGATGGTCTCTAAAATTTAGGAAAAAATTCAAATTGGTCAATAAAGGGCCTGCTTGACCCTCATTTTTTAGTATGGAATGTATTTTTGAATAGTTTATTGATGAAGAATGTGTGGTTAAAAATAAAGAAAAAAATTTCGGATTACGTATAATATTATTTTATTTAAAAATATATGGTTAAAAATAAGAGAAAAGTGTATTTTGAGAAAAAAAATGAGGATCAAATAGGTTGAAAGCAATTTTCTGACCCATTTAGTCTCCATTAGCCTAATAAATGACATATCATGTTTTATATTGAAGATCTATAATTTCACGATTTGAAACAATCATAGTGGGTCGAAATCAAGATTTAACAACCGTAGTTTGATCTATAGCGGATGATGCTAAGAGATTTGCTACAGTAACACGATCAATGACAAGTTCAAAGACGAGTGAGGATGACACGTGTCAATACATGATTTGATAGTTTAAAAAAACACAAAGCACCCAATCAGGTGCTGCTACTTCACCGTGTCAACTGCCTCTGTTCAAGGAGCATTATTCATGATGCTAATGAGTGACCATAACATTATTAAACTTCGTCGTAAATAGGTCACACAGATATTTTAATGACTGTACATGAAAGAGTAATGTTATTTAGCTCCACATTGGCACGGTTTATATTGGGGTTGCAATTCCAACGAGGCTACGCAACATTACTGTATTGAGCCCTTGTTTGAGTCCAATTTTGATAGAAAAATTGTATTTTTGAATAATGGGTTTTGAAGAATGTGGGATTGAAACTAAATAATTTTTTCCTTCGATTTACAGCCCACTAATGACGGTACACATGTAGCATGTTTGAAATAATTTTTTGTTAGAATGGGTCTCAAACAAGAGCAGAAATTAATGCAGCGTAACCTGAAATTAATAACGTTAGAATAGAGGAGTAAAAGTGCGCGTAGGTCGTTAATAGCCAATAGATCTCTTCATAATCTAGAGAGAGATAGGGACAGAATGTGGTGCCAGCTTTGATTCTCTGTGGTCAAAGCTGGCAGGCATAGGTTGTTTAAAGCCCTGAGCCTCTTCTTCTTCTTCTTCGTCGTCGTCTCTCTCACTCTTCAATTCCCTACAAACCCATCTACAAAATCAAAATAAAGATCATTTGATGTAATGGTTGATCAAGCAACAATGGCCGCATCTCCATCTCTTGCCTGTGGAGAAAAGAAGCACCGGTGGCTTACCAATAAAAAGGTACTTCAAACCCCGCAATCATGAAATCGGATTGCTCATATTTAATATTGAATTCAGTCACTTTCATTCGTGTTTACACTTGTACTGACCCGTTAATTCATTAATGCAGACGGTGGAGAGATATGTGAGGGAGGCGAAAATGTTGATTGCAACGCAAGAGCAAAGCGAGATTACGGCAGCTTTACGGCTTCTAGAGGCGGCGTTGGCTCTTTCGCCGCGTATGGAGGTGGCGTTAGAGCTCAAGGCCCGGTGTTTGCTTTATCTCAGGCGGTTTAAGGAAGTTGCCGATATGTTACAGGATTACATTCCGAGCCTGAAAATGGTGGCTTCTGATGATGAATCGTCATCCAGGTGGTCAGATAACTCGTCCACTCAGCTGTCGAGAGAGCGAGTCAAGCTTCTTTCTGACTCACTGGGTCGTGATGAGCCGGTGTTTAAGTGCTTTTCTGTCTCGGATTTGAAAAAGAAAGTCATGGCTGGCCTCTGTAAAAATGGCGATAAAGAAGGGGAATGGAGGTAATTTAACAATTTTCAATCTCTTCGAATTAAGACAATGGCTTGTAGATTACGCGAAACCACTGCCAGCAATGGATGCAATTTACCTAATCCTATCCTGATTAATATATATTAAAAAGTCAAAATCTGTTTGCAACTTGAATTAATACTCTTTTTCGTCTCGAATATTCAACGATTTGATTGGGTCGAGCCATGGAACGAGTCGAAATTGATTCCGCTCTGTCAAATTTTTCCTTGCAGGTACTTGGTTTTGGGACAAGCCTGTTGCCATTTAGGCTTAATGGAGGATGCAATGGTGCTCCTCCAGACCGGAAAACGCCTCGCCACCGCCGCATTCCGCCATGAAAGCATTTGCTGGTCGGAGGACAGCTTTTCGTTTAACAGATTTCCGCTTTCTGGCGATAAAAATCAGCCCCAGTCACTTCATAAATCAGAGAGTGAAAGAATTTCTCAACTACTCAGTCACATGAAGCTTCTCATTCGCCGCAATACAGCCGCAATGGCTGCCCTTGATGCTGGGCTCTATTCCGAAGCCATTAGACATTTCTCCAAAATTGTTGATGGCCGCCGTGGAGCCCCGCAGGGATTCTTGGCCGATTGCTATATGCATCGAGCCTTAGCTTATCAATCCACGGGTCGAATAGCAGAGGCAGTAGCGGACTGTAATCGAACCTTAGCATTGGATCCCTCTCGATTGGAGGCACTTACAATCAGAGCGACCTTATTTGAAACAATAAGATGTTTACCAGATAGTCTTCACGACCTGGAGCACTTGAAACTATTGTACAACTCAATGTTGCGCGATAGGAAATTGCCTGGACCGGCATGGAAGCGTCAAAATGTTCAGTACAGGGAAATTCCAGGGAAGTTGTGTTCTTTAGCCGCGAAAATCCAACAATTGAAGCAAAGGGTCGCAGCTGGTGAAACTGGGAATGTAGATTATTATGCATTAATTGGTTTAAGAAGGGGTTGTTCGAGATCAGAATTGGAACGAGCACATTTGTTGTTGAACCTAAGACACAAGCCTGATAAGTCATTGAGTTTCATTGAACGATGTGAGTTGACCGATGAGGGGGATATCGATTCAGTTAGGGATCGAGCTAAAATATCAGCATTGCTGCTGTATAGATTGATTCAGAGGGCTTATACAAGTGTAATGTCAACCATTTTGGATGAACAAGCGTGTGAGAAGGAAAGAAAGAAGGCTGCGGCTGCCTTGCAAGTGGCACAGGCTGTCATGCAATCTCAACACGCTCTCGAGCAATCCTCCTCTGCAGCCGTTCCAAAGGCCACCCCTAATCTGCATAAGTGTAGTAGTAACAATCGGGTTGAAAACAAGGCCACCATAACAACTCCACCACCATCAGTGTTTCAAGGTGGGTTTTGCAGAGACCTATCAATTGTCGGGAATCTGCTTTCTCAGACCGGGATTAGTCGTCCAATTTCAGTAAAATACGAGGCCTTGAGCTGTTAACGGTGAAAGTGAAAACTTCGATCATGATAATAATGATAAAATAAATGGGAAATCATGGGTTGGCAGGAAATCAATCTCATTTTGGTAGCATCCCCTGTTGTTTTGTACAAAAATTAAAACTTTAGTACTGCCTGCTAAGGAAATTTTTTGTTACGTTTTCTCTACATATTTTCCTGGAGCTGCACCAAACTTTTTTATACTCTGGAACTACACTTTCAGTTTCAAATTAGTTATCTGTATAATCTTGCAAATCTATAAATGTGCGTGTGAAGTAAATGCCGAGAGCCATTTGGCTTCTTTCTGTAATCTTTTCTGCTTAGGTAATAGAATTCAGTGTTCCCATATGTCAGCCTATCCACCGGAATTTCCACAATATTTGAAATGTAAGGGTGCTGGACGCTTTGAAGCCTGCACAGCGTTGTGACATTGGGGTGCCTGAAATATTTTAAGATCGGTCGATTCAGGCACGATCTGATCAACATCAATGTTAAACCAATGTCTAGAGGGGTCGTATCGAGGGACAAGGGTATATAACATCCATTGCAAGTGAGTTGATGCTCTCTTCACTTCCACATTAATCAATCAAACTAATGATTAACCACTCCTAAACAACGGAGTCTTACTAAAATAAACATGGAAAATCAAATAGAACATCCTACCTTGCCTCCTCCCCAAAAATTTATTCAGTTTAGAACTTATTTACTTAAATTTTTAAGCTCAGCCAAGCATAAACTCTAAGAAAGCTCGACATTAGAAAGATGATTAAAAAGAAATGTGCAGAGCATATATTCATGCTTGCTGCACACTGTTTGGATTGGATGAAAAGGAAAAAGATGTATAAAGAATGAATCACGTGCAACCCATAAAGGAATACCTTCCAATGCGAATGAGTGAGTGAGTGATCTGTAAGGAATCATTTTTACTCATAAGTTGAGCCAAAAAAAAAAAAAAAGGCTTGTGAGCCCCACAACCACAATTTTAGAAGAATGTGACTAAAACCTAAACCTTGCTTGATTAATATAAAAAAATAAAAAATAAAAGATATTATCAAACCGTATGAGGTCGCATTTTTTTTGACTCAGTAGTCCAAGTTTGGCCCGACTAATCTTGAGGATGACTGTCTTCCCCTCGGTTTGCCACCCAAATTAATCCGAATGCGATCACAGCTTATACACACTTGGTCGGACATTCAGTGGTTCTCCTCTCTGTGGACCTTTGCCTTCAACATAGATATTGCCTTCCAGCTGCCGCGAGAATTCGAACATTCGATACTCCGTAAAAAACTCTCATACTTTACCACTGTGCAATGCCCGTGGAGGCTAACCGTATGAGGACACATTTACTTGTATGCTTGCTTGTTACAAAGTAAAATGGAACAACATATTATGATGTAAATTATTAGTAATTTATTTAGCAGCCTGATTTCATCGTGCTCTTTTGACACTTAGCTGGATATGTTAAATGACATACAGCTGCTCTAAGCTCCAAGTCTATAGGCTAAATATGTTTGCATTATTGCATAGTTGCATGTGAATTCAATTCAAACTTATTATTATATATTTATTTTCTTAATTATTTATATCTTTTAGGATCCTTCTTTCCCGATGTTATAGTATTAAACACGCATCAGTTCTATTACTATACGTGATTTTACGACTTTGTAAAAGTATATAATTTTGATAAGCATGGATTCCGGATTGTAACTATATTACTACTTCTATTACGTGCGTTTTTTAAAAAATAAACCAATTCATTGGATGTATTTGGCTGTCATTACGTCTCGACTCTGAATACATTGGATGTCGATTGTGATTGCTTCTATAGCCAAGTTACATATGATTGCCTTGCTTTTTGACGAGTTTAATCCATCGTAGGAAAATTACGAACTTTTCAATTTTTGAATACTCGATATAACATGTATATTGATGCATAGATGTGAGAAATGACTAGTTGGGTATTTTGTAATACTACTACAAAAAGACTTTTAGACATCTTGCATATTTTATAAATATGAAAATGAAATCGTTATAAATCTCAAAAAGGTTTTTATTTTTTTCGGAAATGCATAGATGTGCTATTTACTATAAGGTCAAATATCGGATCATAAGTGCTATAATGTCCAAATATCGAGGGGATTTGATTTGAACTAGTTTTCAACGACATAATAATAGTAGCGATAAAGAGTAGTAGTGAAAACAGTTACAAAATTTCACTATTTGTAATATAGAACTCGTTGGAAATAAGCACATACTATATGTATATATCCTGCTTTAGATGAGGTTGATTGGAAAATTCCCAATGTGTTAAGTCAAGAAATGTGTTGCCACCATTGACATGCCCGACCTGGTGAGCATTCGTGAAAATGGAGGTCACAAGACTCATACGTGTGCTAGAGGCATCTAAATACAATGATGTTCACATGTTGGATTTTTCTTTTAACGTTAAATTGGTTTATAACGCAACATTGGTTTTTTTTTTTACTTTTTAGTATTGATATTTTGATTATTTGTGCATAGAAACATTGATTTCTGACTTTCAACATTCAACAACAACTTAAAATGGTGTCTCAGTTATAAAGCATAAACATTGATTTTGGACGTGTCACCATAACAATGGACTTGTGTCATTCGGCACACACCCAAGGCTGGTGGATATTACAATTCTATTGGATAAAATAATATAAACGATAGTCCTGAACAGTCCCGAACTCCATTCTGAACTACTTGAACCTCTTGGGAATGGGTAAGCTATTATCTTTAGAGTGAACATGATCGTCTGGTATAACTGAAAACGACATGAGCGATACACTAATGGGCTTCGATCACTTCTTGGATTACTTGCTCTTGGGTCAGCACGATAGAGCCTGTGGTATGCTCGAGTAGATGGGTCAGTGGGGACCCCTGACGCACAAGCCAATGTACAGCACCTGCCCCGGGGGATGTGGGGTAGGCGTCCTCTTGCACATTAGAGGCGGTATGGGAAAAACATGTTGATAAACTGACGGGCCTGAGGCGGTATGGGCTAGCTGAGAAGGATATACCAGTGGGGAGGTAGGATTAGATAATGTGGAGGCGGAGCTGGAGGTGTGGCATATTGACCTAAAGCTTAGGTCAAGGTTGAAACCTCTTGCTTGAGCTCATTAAACGCCTCTAGTGTAATTAGTGTTTGAGGTGCCATACATGTTGGGGTGCTGATCGGTTTGCTGACCTTGTGAAAGAGTTGTGACATCCTCCTGATGATTAGGAGCGATATGGGGGTTTTCTAGTGGTGGATGGTTACAGGGAGCAAGATCATGAGCACTAGTGGAGTTTAAGCATGACATTTTGATCATGTGTTCACCGTGACTTTTAGTAGTAGTTTCCACTAATGACGCCAATGATGTTATAAAAATCATACCCGGGGATGCTTGAACTCAGATGGGAAAATATGAGGAAGGATCACGAATGAGACCTTCAAACGATGATGTTATAAAAATCATACCCGGGGATGCTTGAACTCAGATGGGAAAATATGAGGAAGGATCAAGAATGAGACCTTCAAACAACCTGCAAAATGGATAGGAAAGTTGTTACCCTTTTGATACTTGAGTCAGAAAGCTATTTAGAGAATATGAGCTTAAGACTATAAATTGAACAATGAAAAAGGTACCTGAATAATGAACAAGTGCTAGGTATATATAGAAATTGGTACGTGTAATCCCGTAAGAATTTAAAAATATGTAGAACAATATAATGACTGGATAGGATTGAACTCCTTGTGATCTTAGAACTTAGACCATGAGGACACATGTTGCACAATGGAGTAGGACTCATGATACGATAAGGGCGTTGATCCAGAGGTTGCATAGAAATCGGGGACCCCGACGACAATGTGGCTAGCTAGGCAGATGGCAAAGTTCGGGAAGTTTAGCTTGGGGCGAGCAAGCCTAATTCAGGGATATACATCAGTGGTAGCACGTGAATATGATTGCTCGAGTAGGTGTGGGCAAATGGGGCACTACGTGATAAAGTGCACAACAAACATTATTTTTTGTTAGGGAAGATAGATAAGGAAGGCGTGACATGAGCATATTCAGTTTGGGGGAGTGAAGAGAGCTGGTGTTTGACTTTGATACACACGATTACGCATTATTCGTTGAGGTTGGGTCTTCTGTTTCTTCACTCTCGCTTCCTCCCAAGTCAAGCATGGGAGTTAAATCGTATTATCTAAGACTAATGACTGATTTTTTTATTTTTATTTTTTAATCCTTTTCTCCAACACTTTTTGGTGATCATCTTAGAAGATTGTCTTAATACAAGGATTACATAAAAAAGAAAAAGATGATTAAATGGTAAAGGCGCGGGGATCTCTTGACTAATTATCGAGCCGATATAGGGCCATACATATTGGGCCTGACTTGTTTTTGTCCAGCCCACAGGGCTTATTCCCCAAAAGCTGCAGCAGTTTCAAAAGCTGTTTGTGGTGAGTTAATATTTAATTTGAGATCACAAAAGCTTAAGACTTAATCGTAAAATTTCTCTTTCCAATAAAATTTAAAAGAGATTTGTGATTCCCTTTCCAATAAAATGTAAAAGAGAATATTATATTCTTTATTTTCAATCATGGTATTTTTTTTATGGATTAATATATTTGTAGAATTATGGACGACAATGTGGTTAACAATGTATGAGTCATAAAAAAACTGTTTGTTGCAAGAACAAAGTTGTTTTTCAAGTTGTGTAGTGACAATTTGCCATGTGACATGTGTCAATAAAATTGTCATTCATGATTGTACATCAAACATGACTGTTTGTTATTTCTCACGTGTTTTTTTAATAGTGCTATCTAGTATTAGTGGTGTTAGAGTACCGACCTGTGTGAAAATATGTAATATGTTTAATTAAAAGTGAATTTATGTGATTAATTTAATGAAACCTGTAATTTAATGTCACTACTATTGTCACCTGAAATATAATTGATTTGTTGGGAATGTACATTTTTTGGTGATTTATTTATTATTT